GGTTTAGGGCTTTAGGGTTAAGGGGTTATAGAGGAGTAATATTGGGGTTTTATTGGGATATTCTCCCCCTATAAGAGAATGAAATGATCAAGAAATTGGCACCATGACATGGAAACTTGGGGTTGTAGTGTACATAGGCATAATGGAAAAGAAAAGGGAAACTACTACTATGAAATAGGGTTCATATTGGGATCATATGGGGACCATGGAAAAGAAAATGCAAGCTAGTATATCATATCAGTTCTATAGGATAGTAGAGGGATTATATAGCGGTTGTATTTGGAGAAGTGAACGCTGGCCAGATTGGGCTCTGGTCATCTCACAAACGGTTCAAGCCAATCAGGAAAGCTGCCACGATCGAAGGGCAAGGCGAGCGTCATTGAAACAAACCTCAGGCTCAATCTCAGGTTGCAACCATGTACGAGTCAGAGATCAAACGGCTTGCAGATGGTTCACATGATGAAGGTCATCAGCCACGGCTTCTCAAAACGCTCAGTCTGGCCATCCGCAGTTCCAGACATGGTGAAGGCAACCCTCAGCTGCGTGACAGTTGCACGTCACAGCTGGGCTTCCTAAATTTGGAAATATCAAGGGTCAAAATAGACCTCAATATGCGTCAATGGGGACTTTCACCCCAAAAGAGTCAAGAGGGCCCTCATTTCTGGAAAATGCCATGTGTCTTCGGAAAGCTTTGGGGGCTTCAGCCAAGGCACTTCATGGTAATTGTATTCAGCGATCCACATACTAGCAAGGCTTTCACGTATAGAATCGTCCAGCATTGGCTCGACATTGCGACGAGCGGGTCAACGATGCACTTATCACATAAGGGCTAGCCTTTCGTTCGCAATAGCACCCTTGAAAAGGGATAGCCGTTCCTCATGTGCAATTGCGCTTATGTTGAAAGCCGTATCCGCGAGGGCTGGGGAGAGGGTAGCTTGCTGCTGCATGTGGATCTGGTCTTGATTTAAGTTCGGGCTTGAACAGCCACGGCTATGCGAGCAAACCTCATAAGTGACCCTCGATCTCAGAAATGAAGAACACGCAGCATGTTTGACAAGCAGTTGTTTTGGCGAGTGGTCGAGGTCTTTCTGCGCAAGGCCCGCAAGACAATGACATAAGGCAAGAAAGCCTGAGAGCTGCAAGTCAGGCGTGGCCGAAGGCGTCATGGAGGAGCCTGGCTGTGCTGCAACAATCTGCTACTGACTCGACAGCCTAACACAAAAATGACTGACAGCGTTAGTGTGGACAGTACGACGGACAAGAAGCAACAGAATGGTTCTAGCAAGTGTAAACAAGCTCAGCCAAATCATGTTCAATTCGCTCAGAGTGATAGCTGCAATGATCAAACACGAATCTCGAGTTGTGTTGGCGGGTCAGCCAAGTAAGGCAAGGTTACGGATGTTCTTTGTAGAATTTTGTAGAACATACTATACCCCAATGGAGGATATCATCTTACTTTCTGTTGGGGACATCTATCCCCGAATAAAATACTATTCAAATCAGTCTCATCACATGAGCTATGGTCTAAACTCTTAGTATCCCTATTTCATCCTCTTTATAACCTTTACGTAAGGAGTTTAGACTGTATAGCTCATATTCCAGCCTGCGAGGCATTTGTCGGGTTGGCTTGGACTTCCGGGGGGTGTCCATTGGCCACTGCCTCCTGCTTGTCAAATGGGGTTTCCCAAAATTAGGGGTTTAGGGTTTTGGGGAGTCCCCATGACAAGGATTATAATATCTTGGGGTCTACATTGGGGTCCCCCCATTCTGGGAAACCACCAAATGCTCTCTCTGGTACTGTAACATACTTGCGATTGCGCTGCTGGCTTTGCAAAACATGTCGACTTGATTTTTCGAAGCAGATGCCACGCATTGTCTCACCATATTGATGAGAAGGTTCTGCTCCGGCTACCTGCTTCCCCGCAGCTGATGCGAGGGCGACAGTGCGTTCGCAAAGCGCTGCCCAAGCACAATGTAATCTTGCTGACAGTTGCCCAAAACAGGCCTTCTCCTACAGACACTGCCAGGGAAGCAGTCACACGGTAAAACTTAAAAGGCTTCTACGCAAAAACTACAGGACACCAACCTCGGAGTCTGAACCGACAAAAAAAAACTCATGTTTAGGGTTCAGGGCTTAGGGAATACTCCAAGAAGTGAATTGTGCATGCTATGCAGACCTGTTGGGAATTCCCATGTGGAGTTCAGTTCTGTTCTGTTTTGAGACGAAGTCATGTTTCACAGACTTTCAGACTGCCCGAGGGTGTCAGGCATTATCATGGCACTATGTCATGCCTTGAAGAGCTGAATCTGAATAATCACCTCCCCCAGCACCTAAGAATAAATCCTCCAAACACAATAGTAAAATATAGTATACTATATGATAATATGTTTTCATATATCATCATATATCATCATATATCAAAATATATTATGATATGTTGCAGTTTTAATATATATCGAGGAAAGTATTCATTCTGAGGCGAGGTGGGGGGGGGGGGGGGNNGGTTGCCCAGGGTTGAGCTCTTCAAGGCTGTGCAGCAGCCTTGGCTATGGGGTCCGACTGTATCTGGGTGGCGGCAGTGAAGGCCCGACCCGTGTGGCGGTCAGAGCGCTCGGATTCCATGGAGGGCGTAGGCTCTAACTTTGGCACCTGCATGCTGTACCTCAGCTGCGCACTGATGGGTAAGGCTATGGCTACGTAGTCCCCAATAGGGACCCCACGGCCTGCTGACCTAATCCATAATTCACCTATATAGTCTTGTGTGTATATACGTATATGTATATGCACTTATGCATATATTATGTGTATATATATATGCTACCATATATATCTATATATAGATGTGTGTCATACACACACCCAATCAATGTAGAATGCTTAGGCTCCATGTGAGCACGCCAAAACCCTTTTCACCACGTCAGGCACAAGCCGATAAAGGCCTTAACCGACTGATTTGCAATCCAGATGCCGCCTGACAGGATGGGAAGACCTAAGCTGGCCGGCGTTGGGGTTTAGGGTTTAGGGTTTAGGCTCACCCCGCGTAGTCACAGATCTTGATGGAAGACAGAGGGTCTAGGACCATGTATAAGGTGTAGTCTACGCCTCGAACTGCCAGCAAGCAGCGGCGAGGAGTCAGCTTGCACACCGGCCTGTGCAGGTCTGAGGTGCAGGGCATAAAGTGCTCCACCATGTTCCACATATGCTGAAATCATCAAAAGCTTAAAGAAACCAGAGCCTTGCTGGTAAGCTGTGACTTGTACTCAGCCAGGCAGTTGAAGAGGGAGCTCTTCAGCGCCGGGTGGATAGCCTCAGGGTATTTTGCAACCAGGAAGTTCCCAACATCGCTGCGCAATAAGAGAAAGTTTGCAGGGTACATGAACACCTGGCCGTACCCACAGATGCTGCGCGCAAGGGGCAACGTCTCTATCCAGAAGCACATCCACGTAATCCATCTTCTCTTCATCTGTCGTGGTGTTGAACTGTTTCTCGATCGCCTCAGTTGAAGGTGCAGATGACAAAGTTACGCAATCCCTACCCCAATGTTACTCAATATAACCCTAATATATATGTATATATTATATAACCCCAATATAACCCTCATATAACCCCAATATACCCCTAATATAAACCCATTAGTACCCATTCTGCTTGCACATGCCACTTTCAGAGTCTGCGCTGCTTTCCTTCCAAGCTGCAAGGCGAGCCCTTGTTATCGCGGATGGATCCTGCTGCGAGTGTGCTCTCAAGATCTACTAATGGGTTTATATTAGGGGTATATTGGGGTTATATTAGGGTTATATTGGGGTTATATGTATTAGGGTTATATTGAGTAACATTGGGGTAATACAGGGAATAATGGAAAAGAAAATGGAAACTACCATAGTAAACTCTGGCTTTGCTGCTCTACATTTTGCCTACTTTCAAGCTTTACTTCCAGGAATCGAGATATCTCTGTCCAAGCAAGCACCAGGAAAGGGCAACTTTGTCCTGCGTACTCTGAAAAAGACTTTCCAGGCCCTGCAGCATCAGCCGTATTGCGCGCTTTGGCTTCTGCGTCGCCACATGCGGTCGCACGCTTTTCCTTCAGCCACAGTCATGGGGCAGAGAGGCAAACTCGATCAGGAATTGGCCGTATAAGACTTGTTGAGCAGCCTGAATAAGATTGCAAGGAGAAAACTTACAACATCATACATGCTGCCAAATCTGAGATGTAGCTGAGCCGCATCAGGTTGATGGCTTGCTGCAACCGCTCTTGGGTCTTCTCGGCCACTTCTGCATGCCTGGATGCATGGGAGCACCTCCTCTCACTTCATTGAGCTTGGTTCACGGGACAGTTCTTTGCACCAAGTCGCTTGGCATATGGATATGCGCACTAGCGCTAAGGCGCGCAGATTGTGTCTCATGAGCCCTATCGCCCGCCAGGCTCTAGTGGGTTGCTATGCAGGCATCAGCCGGTGCACCTGCGAGTCACCGCTATCTCTTCCATCCGCTCAACCTGTTGCTCCTCAGCAGCTGCTGCCATGACATCTCGGAGTGGCACCCAAGTATGCAAACTGCATTTTGCAGTGTCAATGGAGTTTACGCAGGCTTTTTACGGCAACTTGGCGCGGCCGAGCCACTGTTTGGATGACCTGGGCTCCAGTCATTTGCGTCAGGAAAAGGGACCCTCTGGCTGGGCATATCTGCTGCATGCATCTGCTTACATAATCACTTAACAGTCCTGATTTAATGGTTTGAAACAGGCGTACATCGTGGATCAGTAAGTGGCGCTGATCCCTTGTGCACAGCATGTGCTGGCGGGCTTAGACCCTTGCCTGAAAATTCAGTTGTACATGTGGTGGCACTGGATTTACAGGGTCTGCTGCACAGGGTAAGGGTATTGCAGCCGAGCAGCAATACCCGCGATCGTCGTTGACCGCTCCAGCTGTGCGACGGCCTCCAAACAGAATTAATTATCCCGAGTCATATAACCCAATTATAGTGGTTGCCATTGATTTTCCATTATCCCCATATAACCCCCATAATGGGATCACTATGTAAAAGCCCTGCCATCTCCAAATGGCACAAGTCAAGTTCCTCCGCACCTCGGGTGAGCTCTTCACCACTTCCAGGGCTTCCTTCTGCAGTTCGTGCGGAACGTACTGCAGTGCCTGACAAGCGCGTGAAATGAGATGAAAATCGTGTGAGCAGAATGGTTCGTGGGGCCTTTTCTGGTCAACGCATGTCCCCAAATCCTGCCCAGCCTTTGGACTGGTGGTGACAGCCTTTTCCATGATCCGGCGGTTCTTCTTCATGCTGTCCTGGGACTTGCAGAAAGTGCACAGGAACCAACCCCTTTATAGCAGTCCCCACAGAATTCCATCTATAACCCCCTTTAAGGAGTTTAGCCTGTGGCACACATGAGCCCCTTCAAAGCGCTGGAGAGGATCCGGTGCCAGGCGGAAAGCCTCACCATCCTGCGCCACGGCAGCCAGCACCACCGAGTCATCCAGCAAGGCAGAACCCTTGGTTCATTGACCCGTTTGGGGTCAATAATGATGGCTCATACTGATACTTGACATCAGCTGGCACTAATTGCAGGATTGTCTTCCCCTGCATGCGTGGGTTATAGCATCATGCATGGAATGACTACTACTGCTGTGACGGCTGGTGGCCCTAGCTCAGGCCTCTTGCAATGTTCAAGCTGTGGCCGAGTCGCCATATCTCTTTCTGCGCTTGACTCTTTACATGACATCTTGGCTCATGATATCTCATGATTAAGGCTTGGCACTCAGATTTGGTAGCATGTAGTCTCGGCGTCAGCTGACAAGTTTGGTATGCAAAGCCACGGCATGTGAGCCGCATTGCCAAGACGAAGCCCCAAGTCTAGCGGTTCAGAAAAGCAAACCCCAAGGCTAATTCTTTCCGGCAGACGAGTGTCTGATGCATACTGGAGGGCAAGGCCGTGCTGTTGCACAGCTTCCAGCACAACTTCGCGATCCACGCGCATCTCCTGATTTTTGTAGGCGTGATAGAGAGCAATGCGCCCAATATTCTGCCAAGATTGAGAACTCTAAATGCAGAAGCTCCTCTGCTGCGTACTGCAGGGCCATGCCGTTCTGCTTCACTGCCTTGCGATGCAAAGCTCAGAGCACTTCAGAGAAGGTCTTAGCTCGGATCTTGGTTGGCCTCGCACGTGGCCCTAGCCAAATTAACGGCACAAGAAGGGAAGCGTCAAGGGAAAAAGGTCAAGGCTTCCGAACCTCAACATGCGAAGATGCTTCATGGTGACATAATTCTCCATTTGTTTGGGCGCGAATGGTGCTATGAGTTCTATGTAGCGGGGGGTCCCAGCAAGCATTCAATCAACAACATGACTACTGCACACCTAAGAGTATGCCTCATCTTCAGAACAAAGGGAAACCAGCTATGGACATGAAGCCACACAAGTAGAACTGCCCAAATCAGTGGATTTAAGATGGGCCTCGATGACCAGATCCTTGTCACCTTTGAGCTCCATAGGAGCATGCGCCAAAGAGGATCCCGAGCTTCGAACCTTCAGCTGCATACCAAAATTCAGCTGGGCTTCGGGGGGGTCACTACAGGGATTCTACAAAGGCATGAGGAGGGCCTGTCCAGCCTATTAGCAAGATTCGGTTTCAATTCCAAACCTGAGCTTGCTCTGGACTATTTTGGACTACGGGAGGGTCCTGCGCAGCCCACCGTCCAATCGTGGGACCCTTGAAGTATCAACGCTGGCCCGCTGGGCGAGGGGCTGCAGTGAGAACCAGATTGTGGATCAGTTTCCTCTCCAAGCGCGCGAAGCTGGCAAACTTGAGCCTCGGGCACTCTGATGGCTGGCTGTTTGCTGTAGCACTCCCTACCTATGCCGGGAAGTGGCACGAACCTCACTGAACACGTTCTGGACTCGTAGAGAAAGATAGAGCGTCAGGAAAAGCTTGCAGGAGTTGAAGCTGCAAAATCTGCGACTGGTTCTGACTGAAATGCATCAATGCATCCCAAACCCATGGGGCCAGTTCCGAGAAAGGATGCACCGCGAACAGAAACCCTCATGCCACCTTCTCTTGCCAAGCTTCGCTTGTCCATGTCGCCCGACAGCTTTGAGCATCAGCTCCTGGATAAGGGCTCTAGAATAAATCGTTATTGTACCTGTCTTCTACCCTCGCCCCAAGCTTCTCCCTGAATTTGGGTTATTTAGAGCTGATCAACGCTAATAAAGGGGGAACCGTAGAGGCATGGTACAGGGGGCTGGTCTAGAGGAGCCATAAGAATTAAATTGAAAGAAGAGGATATCTTGTTTCAGTTCACAACCCTTGCAATACGGGTTCGAAAGTGGGGGGGTTCCAGAATTACAGGGGCCCCAAGATTACCAGTTCTCGGAAACTCCCAAGTGAAAGGGCTTGGGAGAAATCCTTTCAATCCTTTACACTTAAGTTATCAGTAGCCCCCTACCGATCAGACAGCGCACTGGTGAAGCGGTGCTCCAACCAATTTCAAAACAAGCCACATAGTTCTGGCCAAAGGTTTCAGCCCGAAACCTCTCGATGGTTGCATCGATACGTTCGAAGCCTTATGGGCTTAAGCACAGCCACAGGTCACAAGCGCATTGAGGGCTGTTATGGGTTGCCTGTTGCTTCAAAATCTCAGAGCTGCCGACCGCCCGTAGCCATGATCTCCGCGATGAGCATTTTCTCATCTTCCATGCGGTCACACCTGACCCCATGGGAAGCTTGGGAAGACAGAAGCATTCACCCAACCGAAGAGGATTTTTCCATATGCCTTAGGGAGCGTTCACCTATGGAAGAGTAAATCCCTCCAAAGACATCCAAAACAGCATCCCCACAATGTCCAGAGCCTGGCTTGGATCGTCTTCACCTTGACATTGGCTGCCCACATGCAGTCTTCCCAAGTGCTCGTACTGCAGGACTCGCTCCTGAGAAATAATATGGAATAATACAGCGGACGAGGGTTCCACATAAAGCCAAACGGGACAAGCTGTAAAGAGAAAATGACACATCCTCTGGGTTGACTACCGCTGCTGGCACGCATCAAGCAGTTCCTAAGCGCGGCCAAGGTGCAGAAAGAACTGAAGTCGTTGCAAAGTCTGCTCCTGTAGCATGCGAGCGTTCAAAAAATTGTCGAGCTCTGCTCGGGAAGATGGAATACCAGAGACTGTAGTTCAGTCCTATGAAGGCGCTTTAGTTACAGGTATTCGAACTTCTGCATTTCTGCATCTTCTCTTTGATCACCGATATGAACCCAAGTTGTCAGCTAAGGCCTTGTACTTGTCGGACATGGATGTGCTCACATCAATGTCGCCCTGGCAAGTGCTTGCGATTTCAGATGATTTAACCCTGTGACCAATGAACGCAGCATGGGTGATGTTGTTCAGGGAAGTCTGTATCAAAGTACCACTTGACGGGTGCGATCATGTACATAACCTTGCATTGCAGAGACCAAAAGCGGGCGATTGCAATCATTACAACTACGGATGGCGCTTTTCTGAGTTCCTGTTTGTCTGCAAGATTCTTGAAGCGAGTTCTAGCTTGCCACGTGTATCCTTGAGCATATCTTTAAACCCGATTATTAACTGCAGTTGATGTTTAATGGAAAGCATGTTGGACGGCAGTTCGCTCTGCCGGCATACACGAATCAAGCTCCAGCATTGAGAATCATCCAGCCCCAAATGATGTGAAATCTTGTGGAACCCAAGAACACGGTCGCACCTTCAAGGCACGCTCGACTTCATGAACGCACCTTGGCTTCCTTTCTGCTACCTTGACAAATTTCATTGCGCTATTGGCACCAAACAAGCTAACCTTGGAAGTGCAAACATGCTTGACCAAGTCACCACAGGCGTTTGTATAAGTCCTCGGGCGTGCTTGCACTCAAAAGCAGGAACACACATGGCATGAGCCTGCATTTAGGGAACCCAGACTTATTTTTGCAAGCTAACTGACAAGGTCAAGGGCTCACTGCTGACGGGCCACAGCTGTTGAGGTGTGTATGGCATGCAGCCCATAGCCGCCTGCAGGCTTACAGACTGCAGAAACGCAAGACGCATCATACTCACTGCTCGTGCCTGTTCCTCTTCTCAGGCTGGCAGAGGAGATGACGCTGGCGAACGGCTTTAGGCTGAGCCTAGCAAAGAAGGATGCCACACACCCACAGGGCATCCGGGAGGCCTTCTAACTCAACCAGACCTGCCTCTACTTGAGCTTCACATAGCTTCACTTGCATCAAGTAAACAGGAACGTGGCTGCCCTTCCAGTCAAGCTCAGTGCCCAGCTGGGCTTCGATGCTGGGGCCACTCTCATCTCCAACCTGGACTGGGTTATTTAAACTATCCAAGCTCTGGATGACAATCCAGCATGGACAGATCCACAGCTGAACTTAGGCATGCTTCGCAAATCTGACACCTGTGTACACTCCAGCCTGGAAATTTGCGAAGAGACAAAACCACAGTGCCGTCTCTCCTGAGCTCTTGGAAGCACGCTTTCACATGTTCTCACGCTGCATAAGCACGAGGCTGGCTGCATGAATAGACTAAATAGACTATTAGGTTTCGGATTCGTCGAAAGACGACAGGTCAAGTCCTGCTAGCACAGTGGCTGGAATCGAGTTGCAGCGCACGTGCTTAACGTGAATCTTGTGAAAATGTAAGAGGTTTTCTTCACCGGGCATCTCGGCAGCGCCGCTTGACGGACATGCTCCATGACAGCAGACTGACACTCCTGCCAGACTGTGCTGACTAAAGCCAAGATCAACGCTACAAGCCAAATCTGTGCTCGTGTGCCATCCTCGACATCTTCTGCCCAGGCGTGTGACAGCATCAGCTGCGCAGAATCCTGTCCCCACCATCAACCACAGCTGGATTGTAGCCATAAACAGCAGATACATGATAGGGCACGGTGTGCCTCACGCTCTTGACTCATCATGACTGCAACGCCGCAGCCCTCGCCTCAAAAAGTCTTTGACAGAAGCGAAGGCCGATTGGTTTGTGGTTTAGGTGGCTTTGACATCAAGCACACAGCCTCGTGTCCATGGCTTCACGTACTCTTGGTTCAAGTCGTACCTGAGCTCAAAGAAGTGGAAGAGGCGGGAGAGGTATGAACTGCACCATGCACTCCAGACATACTCAACAAGACAACCAGCCAAGGGGCATGTTGACATATTTCTTACCGTGGCTCTTGAAAACCTGGTACCTTGGTGGCACAAGCATGCATGAGGCAACGGCTATTGCGCAAAGAAATGTCTGCGGGCACCAAATTTGAAGCTTTCGTAAGATCGTCCGCATGGTGCTGCATGCAAGAGGTTGCCCCCAACGGTCACATGCGCTGCAACAAAGCTTCATCTACTCGAGCATTGCAGATGATCACAAGTGCTTGTCTGGATCGAGGAGCGCTTCTTGCTCCTGGCAGAAAGTCAGCACCCGGTCCCACTCGTCAATGCTGAGCGTCCAGTTCTGCCTTGGCTGCTCTGCTTTCAGTGCCTACACTTCACTTTGACATTCTGCCGCCTTCCGTTCTTGGAACATCTGCAGCAACAACCAGATCTAGAGATTTGGATGCAAAGCTCAGAATTCAAAACAATATCCACAAACCACAATGCACACCCTTTGGCCAGGACTGGAACCGTCCTATGCTTTGTGATGTTCCGCCAAAGTGGCGGATTCTCCCACTGCCTTCGGCGCATGGTCTGAGAGGCCCGGAACGCCATGCCATCCGGCCGGTCTGGGACATAGTCTGTCTCCTGGCTACGTGAAAAAACAGGCCTCTCAGCATCTGTGGAGAAGCTACAGCCACACAACCGCACCGCAAAGTAGTAGGGTGTAGCAAACACTGTGACTGCTTACCTTTGCTTACCTTGGCGCAAACTAGACAGAAGTAACTGATTTCTGCCGCAGGCTCACTCGATTGTCTTTGTCTGTCACCTTCCAACTGCTTGTAACACGTCCAAGCTGATTAATGTCAGCTTGGCCATGCTGACCTCCTCCTGAAGATATTTGGGATCATATAGGGATAATGGAAAAGAAAATGGAAACTACCCTATAATATTTGGGATTATGCTTGGGATTATATAGCGATAATGGCTCTGAGAGGAGGGCCCATCTACATGATCAAAGCATGGCAAAGGGCGCTTTGTTGGTAATGCTGCATAGTTGCACTCGCTTAGGTAAACCCCCATGCCCATAGCATCTGCAAGCAAGCCCAAAATGTGCACCAAGTAGCCGATCACTGACTGCAAAGCCCTACATATTTCCCCACACTGGCTATCGTCTAAAGCCCTAAGTATCCCCCCAAATAACCGCTATAGTACTCCCCTATATGATCCCCTATTTCCCCCTTGAAGGAGTTTAGACTGTAGCTCACGTTAAAATCGATACATCCCCGTGTCTCCTCGGCAGCCACTGTCGGATCTCTCTCCAGCTTGACCGCTGCCAGGAAGCTCGTAGGCTGAGCCGGGATTTCAGCTTTTTGGGGCTTAGGGTATGGGGTTCAGGGTTTAGTGTTTGGGGATTCTTTGTTTTTGTTTAAACCCATGGGTTGGGTTTAGGGTGTTCCTTCTTTTTGTCAACACTCTTGGTGGGTTTTACGGGTTCACTCTTTTTTTCCGGCCTCCTGATGGCTGGTTTAAGCGCTTTTTTGTTTTTTCTTCTTCTTCAGCACCATTGCAGGGTTTCCGGGCGTTCCCGCGTTGTCGGTTGAGGCTTTTCTGCCTTGCCAAGATCATTGGTGGGGATTGGGGTGAAGGGTTTTCTTTTACACCGGGCAGGCAGGGATCTTCTACAGACTACGAACGGGCTCCGAAACATCAACTTTCTACCATAACTAGTGCATACTAGTGCCATCATGGTTCGTTAGCATCATTGTTGCTCGAATTTTCACTGTCATCCCGATGTATGAGCCATAAATCCGATGCGATCCACGCATGATCCCTCAGGCCCGAAAGCTGCAGCCGTGACACACGTGCACGAAACTCCTACTTCTGATTGAGCTCTGCAACGTCCTGCTGCATTATGAGGTCCTACATCCTTTCCCACAATGGCCTTGACAGACACGTTGCGCGTCAGTTCTATCAGCTCTCCTAGGCGGCGACAGCATGCAGCCACCGAGCTCAACACAGTATTTCTGAAGTCGGTGAAGTATGGATCCCCCAAACATGCGTGCAGTATGTCAACTCAAGAGACCCTGCTGGCGGACTTCGAAGCTTGAAGGGCTGCACGCAGAGATCAACGCTGGGCTCAGGCCGTGCAAACTGCCACTGCTACTGCGGTAGCTGCCAGTGTTGATACTGCGACTGCTACTGCTGCAAACAAGGGACCTGCAGATTGCGGCTTCAAGGTTGACGCCGCCGCCTCTTCCAGCCTTGCCGCCGGCAGTTGCTGAACGTCTCGTTTAGGGGTTGAAAGAGCTTATGCAAGGATTGCGAAGGAGTCCTTTCACAGCAGTCTTGCACAGAGATGTCGAAATCATGTTGCGACATTCCAGAAAGAAGAGCAACACATCATTTCAATCCAGTGGAAATCTACATTCAGGCAATACTGAGCCAAGCGCAAATTGTCCACCTCAGGCCTCACACATGTCTGCTGCGAGGCAGCCCTAGCAATCTGAATGTCTTGCGTATCTCATCCACAGGAGCATATTGGGCATTCCACGCCGGAACCAAAAGCACACCGTCAGGCCCAATGTCACGCGTGGTAACAGTGCGGGAAGGCACTGCGAGGATTGTGACTGAGCTATCCGTGACCAGCCAAACTACTTCAACAAGACCAGCAAACATGCTGGCACTGATGCCACAGGGCGCCCAAGCACTGTGAGACTGGTAACATCTGCGGCCGGATCGATGATGAACGCTGTTGGGTGGGTGAACGCGCGTACTGTTTTGAAGCCTTCTGCAACCAGAGCTTCCCAAAGGAGGCAGTGCTGCCGGCTGCTTTCATCTAAAGGAGTTGAGGACCGTGGAAACTGGCAGTACTGAGGTGCCCACACAGCAGAAGACTGCAGTTGCCGGCACTCTTCAGATTTCCTGGCAGCTGTTCGCTTTATACAGCAGTATTCCAGGGCAACTTCATTCTTCGAAGTCGAGGAGAAGAAAATAACTTGCTTGCAGTGGACTGTTCCTGAGCCCTGCGCGAGTCCAGCTCCTTGCTAAGCTGCTCATTGTCTTCCTGTGACCTTGTCAGGACAAGGCGTACACATCAGCCAGGTTCAACACGTCCAGGCGCAGGCGTGTTGGCACAGAACAAAGCCTCGGATGCCTTTGACAAGCTCAATGAGGCTTGGACTTTTTGAGGTCTGCCTGCAATTGTGCTCGCTCTTTCTGGAGCCTTGCGATATGAATGTCATGTGGTTGTGCCATTGGACAGAAACTTACAGCAGAAGAATGTCTAGCATTTGCCTAGTCTCGTCCAGTCTCAGCCCTTCACGCTTCGACCTTGTGGGACATGTGCTCCCTCTGCTCCACAAGCCTGATATGCTGCTGAAAGAAAAGCGTCACCACAACACCCACTAGTATGTCACGCTGTTGCTTCAAGATCTTCATGAGTCGGCCTCTGCATTTCCTCCTCGGCCGCAGCTTTGTCAGCCTCTTTGACTTCGAGCTCCTGGCGGAGTCTGGGTTTTCATGTACATGCGAGAACTGTCTCCACCCCTGCACATTTGCATGCTGAAGACTCACCATACAGCCCCCTGTCCTTCAGCTGATGCCTCAAGCAACGCTGAAAGAAGCAAAGACATCAGACGAGCAATCAAATCAGTGTGGCCTGACGCTCTCAAGCTCGACTTGCAGCTTCACCGACTTGCGCTCTGCGTGTCTCCGCTTCGTGACTTCAGCTTGGGTCTCTTCCTGCCCGGCAACCACCAGACAAGAACCCTGGTCTGGAAGCCTGGCAGCTAGGATCCTCTAGATTTGGGTGACATGCGGATGCTCATCTTGGCAGATGCCCGTGCTTCAAACCTTCGGAAATGCACAAGGCAAGTGGGAGCACGTCAGTTGGATTTGCGTTCGGGGATGGGCTGTTGCGGCGCGGGATAAGCGCGTAGAAGGAAACTGCCCAACCCCATTCATCACGAACAAGCTTCAGCCGCCGCAGGTCCACGCATCTTGATGCAAAAACGAACATCCTACCTTATTTTTACCAGACATCTATGGCGCTCGAAGGCAATGCTGCAATCAGCAGCAAATTGCCGCGCCTTGTGGCTCTCCAGTGTCACCATCGGCCTGGCGTCCGCCTCACTTCTCTGTCTGGCTGCAGACCTGGTCGAGAATTCTCCCTGAAGCGGTGACGGGCATACGCTTGCAGCCAGCAGATGCCAGCAGTCATTGCCCCCGTGCTATGTGGTCGTCTACTGAAACTGCAGCCAAAGAGGCCAGGCTTCCTCCACCTGAAGTTTGTGCAGGACTTGAAGCGATCGCAGCTGGCCCTGCAGGGTGCCTCAGCAACACATGGTTCGAGTTAAGAAGACTGCTACAGTTCGTTGTACAAGCGGGTGGGGTCTCATGAAACTCAACTCCTGAGGCTCCATTTGTTGGCAGGCTGCGATTCATGCCCTGCATCTTCTGAAGCTCCGCCTGCCAAGCATCCAGCTTGTGCAGAGCGCCATCAACCTCATGCAGCACCTCAGTCAGGCAGCTGGCACTGTCCCCACCCTGTGACAGTCACATAATGTCATATATACAAGTTGCACTGATAATCCCTGTACAAAGACTGCGCATGTATCTGTGAAATTAGGTTGCCTGCTTCATACCCTCCAGAAGCTTCTGATCCTCTATAGCAACAGGACACCAAAAAAAGAGAAGCCCCAACCGCTAAACCCTGAACCCCAAACAGGACCCTAAACGTCTTTACGGCAACTGAGGCGCTCTAGACAGGATGCTGCCGTAAGTCGGGAGAAGGTCACAAAGCCATGCGAGAGCCTCTCATTGTTGCAAGGCGTGCAAAGCTTAGTTTGGGGTTGAGGGCGCTGGGTGTAGGCTGAGAGTTGGAGATTGCTACTGGGGGTGCTTCTGGTGTTGCTGCTGCTACCCGGAAGAACAAGCAACATATACACTCCCCAATGCTCCTGAGGAACCTACAGCACTGTCTCCTAAACTATACTAGAAAGCTTGCATCGTAGCCTTGAGCCCCTGATCCTTCAAGCAAATCTCCAAATCCTGCACGTTAAACCTTAAAACTCCAAAGCCCGGAACCCTAAAACCCCACCCCCCACCCACCAAAAAAAAGAGACCTGCAGGCCTCTCTGTGTACCTTCAACCGCTCCGGGCATGGTGCTTTGGAGCTGAGCTTCTGAGCCTCCAGGGAGGAGTCGAGCCAAGCTTCCTGGGTTACGTGAATTTTAGGGCTGAGTTTTGGGGTTTGGGGAGTACAGGAACTTATAATTGACATGAAACGGAAACTATTACATTCTAATACGGTACATATTAAGATTATGCAGAGGACATCTAGGAATGTTGCCACGAGAATGGAAAATGAAATGCAAAATCCAATGGAAATTAAATGGAAAGTGGGAGGTGGCATAGGGGCATGTGGGGTTTGCTGTCTGGGGGCTAGGATTAGGGGATGGGAACTAAGGTCCGGAGGTTGGAGGTAGGATTTCTATTGCCCTCCTTCTCATGTGGGGCTTGGGGCTTAAGATTTACGGGGATGTTGCATGACCCACTTTTTCAGAGCAGAGCCTAAGCATCGCGACAGACACAAAGAAGAAGAAGAAAGGCGT